TACCCCCTTTAGCTCATTTTTTTTTCATAATCTACAGAACAAACCATTGTTATACAATAACTTGCCTAATTACCCTTACCTGCCTAGTTAACTTAATTAACCTACTTAAGCCTTTAAATGTCACTTTAAGCTGTATAGAAGTATCTTGAAAAATATCAAGTAAAATATTATTTACTGTCATCATGTCAAAGATAAAATAAATCAGTTATTAGAAATAAGTTTTTAAAACTATTATGCTTAGAAATGTGCTGAAACAATCTTCCCTCCATTAAACAGAAATTGGTGAAAAAAATAAACAGGGGCACTAATAATTCTGACTTCAACTGTATATATATATATATATATATATATATATATATATATATATATATATATATATGTGTGTGTGTGTGTGTGTGTGTGTGTGTGTGTGTGTGTGTGTGTGTGTGTGTGTGTGTATATTATACAAAATAATAATAAATTTAATGAAACATTTGAGAATCCAATTCTCAAACCAGTTGCATTAATTAATTCTCAAATCTTCATTGCATTCTGGGATTGTACAGTATGTTGTTTTGAGAAAAATAAACTTTGCAATGACATTAATCATACAGTTTATTTCTATAAGAAATAATGAACACAACAAATCATCATTTTATCTTTTCATCTGCTATTCACATAAAACAAAATCAGCATTCCACACTAATGATTGCCTTGATAAAAGTTTTCACTTTAACTACAGGTGACAGAAGAATGTATCAGGTTGAAGGGAAGACCATTTTTAAAAAGAATGCGGCACATGAGGAAAGATCATAAAATGCAAAGATGAGTTATGCACTTACTTGTTTTAACCCAAGTTGAGAACATATGTATTTGCATAAAACATAACACAAGGAAATTATGTTTCAGCTGGCATGTGGGCGTGAACCTAATGATGTACTTAAACATCACCCAAAACACAGTTGTACAAATTCAGCTAGACTAAGATGAAGGACACAATTGTATACATCTGGATACTTTTATTTTTGCACGCCCAAAATGGAAGGAACCATGTGTCAGGTAAGACAGTTTATGAGCTTGAGATAAAGCTAATTATTTTGTAATGTCTAAGTATCTAAGTGTGTATGTATGGTTAAATTGTTATGAATTAAGGAAAGTTATTCACGGAAGAAAAAATAATAATAATAGTGAAAAAATACACACTTTTGTGTGTGTGGGTACTCAACACAATCGCACGGCAATTCGTAACTTTTTGATTTAGTGGCTAATTCGTATGAATTTGTATGATCTAATTCGTACAATTTCTTATGATTTGCTCATCCCCTAATGACGGTTGGGTTTAAGGGTGGGGTTAGGTGCAATACCTCCTTTTTAAAATCGTACAATTTTGTACGATGGAACTCGTATGATTTTGTACGAATTAGTCACTAAACTGGCAAAACGTAAAATACTTAAGTTTTCTTGTGAGATCAGGCTGGTTTACTTCATGTAAATTAAGTTTGCTATTGTTGTGCACCATATATTAAGAACAGAAACTACTAACATTGTTTCATTCATTCATTCATTTTTCTTTTTTGGCTTAGTCCCTTTATTAATCTAGGGTCGCCACAGCGGAATGAACCTTCACTGGGAAACACCCATACACTATGCTTATTTAGCTTGCCCAATTTACCTTGTGGTGGAAATTAATTTATATACATTACAAAGGTTTGTTCTTTTTTTCTTCCGTGGGTGTACTGTTTACGTTAGACCGTGTGATCAATTTAACATCTGTTTATCACCAGACAAGATCTGGGGTCTGTTCTTCGTATGTGGATTACTCAGTTAGCTGGATTTGGTTTTTGATGATTTGACACGATCCAGGATCATTTCATTCTTCAAAACTGATCCGAGAGTTGTTGTCATACCAACAGTTCTGCTAGCTCAAACCTGCAAGGGAGCAGGCTCATTTCATATAAACAGGATTAGATTGGGTCTTTTCAAGCAAAGATAATACTGAAAGTATGTACTGAATTCTGAAATTTACATATATATATACATATATATATATATATATATATATATATATATATATATAAGTTATTAATAAAACTTGTGCAATCTGCACTCCAAAATAAAAGTACAAAGACTGCCACCTGCTGCTTCAATTACAACATTTATTGATATGAAATTTTTAGATTGCTTTAGTACAATTTGTATATAATAGACATGCAAAATATGCAACTTTAAAAAAAAAAGCAATAATACATTTATGCAGTCATGAACAAGTTTTGACAGCTAATCTGACGGTGATTTGATGCTTCACAAAAGTTGCAGACACCTTTACGAATATCAAAATGCTTTGGCAAACATCCAGTTATTCTTTACACCGATTAAAAAACCAGCTCCTATAACACTACTATGGTTACTATAGTAAAGAAAATCTGCTCTAACTGTAAAACTAAATAAATTGTTAAATACTCTTGGCACATGACAGGATAAAGCCTGCAGCCCACAACAAGGTGGAAAGTTATTGCGTATCATATCTAACAAACTATTTCCTACGAATTTTATGTCATTTTGCTCACATGGATAATTGAATATAAATTAGATGATGTCATTACGCTGCTGTGCTGTCAGAAAATTGTTGCATTGCTGATTAGGATTTCGAGGAAAGATAGATCTGTCCTTCACAGCGCGTGCAGCGATATCAGATCAGTTCATCCAGACATTTTAATCTGATTCACGAACTTGTTTGAAGAACCAAATTAGCCAGAGATCAATTATCAAGATTAAAAGATCCAGGATCTGCCAAATCATCTTATATCATTTAAGCGAAGTACGAAGAATGGACACCGGGATAAGTACATGGTGATTTACAAGCTACATGTTCAGATGGGATGATGAAGGCTGAAATGTAGATGGTCAAAAATTTTTGAGATCTCAAAGTTTGACCGCTGATGTAACTGTGATTTATCCTATGTCACTGATGACCTTGTGGGTATTACAAACTAGACAAAAAGAGAACACACTCTGTTTCTGCGACTCACACTTCATTGACGTATGATCGTGTAACCTTCTTTGCAGAGAATAAAACTTTAAAAGACATATTGGGTAAGACTTTGGGCCCTATTATACACCCAGCGCAATGCAGCGAAAAGCGCGACGCAAGTGTTGTTTGCTAGTTTCAGCTTGGCTCAAGAGTCGTTTTGATGTTTGGCAGCCTGCTGTTAAAATAGCAAATGCATTTGCGCTCATATGTGCGCCCATAGGCATTCTGGTCAAGGAGGCGTGTTAAGGCGTTTTAAGGTGCATTGCTGGCGCATTGCTATTTTGAGGAACTATACTAAACTGTTCAATAGACCAGATTGTTTGCCTCGTTTACACATTGCTTAATACACACAGGGTGTCCAGCAATACGCAAATATCTTTACAAATGAAAAAAGAATTAAAGGAATAAAATATTACAAAAAAAAATTCTAGCCCACATAAATATAATAAAAATCATACTTTCATGCCTTCATCACTGCGGGGGGCTTTTTCAGTTTATTCATAACAATTTGCTTTTGCATAATGTCATTTTTAAAAGTAGTATTATTTATTATATGCATATTTATATTTGTTTTATTAAAACATCTCTCATCTCTCTGGCAATGCAGTGGCGCAGTAGGTAGTGCTGTCGCCTCACAGCAAGAAGGTCGCTGGGTCGTTGGTTCCAGCCTCAGCTCAGTTGGCGTTTCTGTGTGGAGTTTGCATGTTCTCCCTGCATTCACGTGGGTTTCCTCCAAGTGCTCCAGTTTCCCCCACAGTCCAAAGATATGTGGTACAGGTGAATTGGGTAGGCTAAATTGTCCGTAGTGTATGAGTGTGTGTGGATGTTTCCCAGAGATGGGTTGTAGCTGGAAGCACATCCGTTGCATAAAAAACGTGCTGGATAAGTTGCCGGTTCATTCTGCTGTGGCGATCCCGGATTGGTAAAAGGGACTAAACTGACAAGAAAATGAATGAATGAATGAATCTCTCATCTCTCATTCTTGTGCTGCAGATGCTCTGTTTAACTGTCTTCTCGCTAGTGAAGCGTTCAGTTTTTACACTTACAAAGTCCATCATTTAAATAGCAAATGCGCTAAGGTGCGATACAACTGACTCTTAAAGGGAATGGGAGATGAAACTTTGATTGGTTGATTCTCAAAACACACCTATAACTCATTAAGAGAATAAGCTCAACCCTGTTAGACCATGCGCCATGGCGCAAAGCAGATTTTTCCATCCTTAAAATAGCAAAAGTGGATTCTGACATGCCCTTAATGCTTTTGCGCATAGATCGTCAAAATAGAGCTCTTTGTCTTCCTTACTGCTGAAAGGGCCTCCTTAAAAGAAATTTGCAATGAATAGTGAGATGTCTTGGAGGAACTTTTTCAGACCCCGCGGACAGTAACTGATCATCCTGGTACTTT